ATTTGACAGACAATCACATTTTATTTTTTCGATGATTTAACTACAAATAGAGAAATAAGAGTAAAGTTAAGAAATATAAATATTTAAAATGAAATAATAGATATACAATTTTATATAAATATGTATCATAAAACTCGCCCTGTATAAAACTATTATCATGTGTATTAATTGGTGCTGCAGATAATGATTTCACCACAAAAAAAATAAAACAAATCTTTTTGATAATACCAAATAAATAATAACTGCGTCATGCGATGCTAACGTACATTTCCAAAGATTATATAAGAGCTAAAAATAAAATAAAAACAAGCAACAACGATATTTCATCAAAGCAGCAAACTTAATTACTGAGATTCCTTTTCTCCTGCATCTGATAATTCCGATCATAACGTGTGCATACATCTCAATGCACATACCAAAGAGGAATGCGTGTACAGCTTTTCCGCATCTCTCTCTCTCTGTTTCACTCCTTCGTAAGCAAATTAAGGATGCATTTAATAATGTATTAATTAAACAGGAAATTGCTAGATGCAAATGCGACGGGGCGCGAGGATCGGGCGAAACCTACTGAACCGAAAACCGATAATCAATTAAGTGAAATACTTCTTCATCGACGGTTAATTAATAAAAACCTTTCATCGATAATTCACTGCCCATCAAAGATTTATTTTTTCGGTCCTGGAGAAAGGAACAAAATATCTGCAGCGCTTAATTAATCCGGAAGCAATTGATGTTCAACAAAGTATAAAATTATCGACGGAAATCCAAAGAAGTGAATAAAGAACGAAGAGTGTGTGAGAGAAATAGGAGAGAGAGAAAAAGGCAACAACAAAAAGGAATACATGAGTCAATTTATGTTGGCTCCTTTTCATTTCTCGGATGAAAAGTAATGAAACGGCGAGATTGTGATGTGCGTGGATTTGATTCCGAGTTAGAGATAGCCGGAGCAATTGAATGGAAAATACTATTCTATATATATATATAATAATAAGGAAGGAACGAAATAGGTCTAATCAATCAAAAAAGGAATGGGAACGCAGTGTGAGAGAACCTTAATACTGTGGCTTATTCTGTTCAGGATTTATTCTCATTAGTTTATTGGTTAAAAATGAAATAACTACTCGTTTACTTCAGAATCCAACATCGTGAGAATGAATATTTTAGTCATGCAATTTTGGTATTTAAAATATCGAATATCGATAGTTTCCATTACGTAATTTAACATATAATAATTGCTTAAACATTAAAGTATAATTTCACATGCATCGGATTGTCAACGATTGTGATTTAATATGATCCAGAGAGAAAGGAATTGCAAAAATAGATTTAGATACACGAATAAACTATAAAGAATAAGTTCATGGATCATCAGAAGTGTTAACATTTTCTTTGATTAAATGCAAATGAAAGGATGAGAAAAGACTGCGATAAACATTTCCAAGACTTTCTGTAATTAACTTTTAAATTATTATATTATAGAAATGTTATCATTTTGTACTTATTAATATTAACTGATCAAGCGTAATATTTTATCTAAATTCATTAAAAATGTGTACACATTTTATAATTTTAATAACATCATACAAAATGTAAACAAATATAGATAATTCCAATTATTAACAACTATTGCAAAATGTTTTTGACCATTGGACTTTCCGCCTTGTATTTACATACATTCTTATAGTTAAATGAATTTTGAACTTGTTAATTTCAAAGTTATTAGAATGTGGTTCATGTTTAATATCAAATTAATTTGCTTTCAGAAAGGATGTATATTTTTTCCGAATGTTAAGAACCTCGTGCGTTTTATATAAAATGTAATTTGTCCCGTTCTATGAATGAATTTACAAATTGATGAAGGAAGTGCGCACCAGTAGTAAATAGGAAGACGGGTATGCAAAAAAAAACAATAGAAAAAGGACGTATATCGAGGAATGCAGTTCGCGCGAGTGCAAATAGTGGTAATATAACGAAACGAGACGACTTAACGGTCCCAAATGGTGGTATTGCGGGATGTCGTGGGCGGCCCACAAACAACGGCCGACTCGTATAGAGCCAGATGCAAATTCGAGCTTTTATGTCAACTACATTTTAATACCATCTTCACACCCACTGCAAACAGCGCCAATAAAATAAATCAGACCTTTCGCATCGCAGTTCCTTCCTTTCCACCTTGCGCACTATCCATTCCCAAGAACTCGCGATGACCCATCATTTCTGGCAATTTGTCGTGTTGGTAATTATGCACCTTTGCGTCTACAAGTAACATTGTATCCGAAAACCACAAAACACCACATCTTTATGTTTGTCTTTTTTTGTTTGTTACTTGCATTATTACGTTTACCATTCCCGAAGCATGCATGAATGTTTTCCTTTATTTCTTTTCTTTTTAGTTTTTTTTTTGAATAAGAAAACGTCCGAGAAGGTCATAACAGTAATATTCCACGCGCATACTTGGATATTACGATCGTATGTGAAATGATTTAATTCCATGTTTCCCCGACATCACGCTTTACTTCTATCCGTACCATCCCCAAACAAAGATGTTCAACCGTTTGTTTATTTGTATGGTCGCTTTTAAAAAGGCACGTAATTGCAATGGCGAATATGCATACATAAGTAATTATAGACCGAAAGATGTACGAATTCTTTTCGCTTTAAACACGAATCATATTTTAAAGCGTTATTCAGACGTCGACCTTTCCACGAAAATCCCCGTCATTGTATGTAAATTCGCAACGAATATTTGCATAGCATCGCGTCCGTTGCGTAACGCCATCGTAATTAGATTCTCTATTTTTTTTTTTGCCCTCCAGAATTTGATGGATTGAGGAAATTTTCCTATTCTACCGAGCACAACATAATAGCGAATATCTCAAATTCTTGCGCATTTTTCCTCCCAGTTAAATGTAGTTGCGTAAATGATTTTCCCACCGCACCTATGAGCTTATTGTAATTTCTTTATTTGCATATGCGCGTAATACAGGTATTTAAATTGTTTTCTTTTGTGATTTTTTTTTGTCTCTCTTTAATTCTTCCTTTTATTCTGCCGCTGCTGCCTCCGATATTTAATATAAACTTCTCAATTAATCGAGTGTAGAGTTACCAAATAATGGTAACGCCATTAAGAAGAGAGTATTTGATGTTCTCGTTGATGATGATGATGATGATAATAAAGTAGGCGGCCGGGCGGCGGATGATTGATCATAGACGGCACCGGGAAATATTGACTGATGGAGTTTGGAATCCTTTCGGATTCCGCGTCCCGATCGATTTACATCGATATCCCGACAAGACGAGAGCCATCCTTCTCCTCTACTCCGCCGATAACTGACAAAGAATCAGATGCCCCCCTTAATGGATTACAACAGGTTACAACAACTCATTACTCTTTTACATCTCATATTGCTCCCTCTCTATCTATACCTCCGCTGTCCGTCAACTCTTTCTTTTTAATAATAAACTTTGTCGGTCGCTCGTGTAATTTTTCATCCGCACTTTAGAAACAAAAGAAAAAGCAACCGGAATAATAAAAAAAAACAACTACACATGTATAACAAATGAAAACCGAGTCCAGCTTCGATCCGATCTGATGATTTCACTCACAGATTACATCAGTACTAATTCTTTAAAACGTCTTCCAAAATAACCATACGTCGTAAAAGCTTAAACATAATATTGATGTTTGTTTTCAAATAATTGTCAATTAATTCAGTAGACTTTAATCGAGGCGTTTTTCTAATTATACCGTTCAGAGAGCAAGAATTATCTTTATTGCTCCAAATATGTTTTGAAATAATTCAAAAAATTAGACATTCTTTGGGTTCGTGGTAAACATGAGAAGAGGAACAAATATCGTTTTAGAGACGTCACAGGATGTTCTCAGGTCGTCTAGTTGTTACATATTAAAATTGGTCCTTTGGAAACCGAAGCAGGTCTCGCCATAAAATAATGCTCACGCAACGACGAGGAGAGCATCAAAAAGCCACCAGCCACGTCCTCCTTTTTCCTCCTCATCCACCTCCATCTATCTCGTGCTTTTAATGAATCGTGAGCGCGAGCATTGAATTTGTTATTAAGCGAAACAAGAACAACACAGATACCAATCTGAGCAACTTGAACCGTTCGCCTTTTGTTTATGCATCGCATTTACATCGTTTGCTTTTTGTTCTGTGTACCAGGATCAGGATCAGGGGAAGGAAGCAGCAGGAAAGCAAAGGATGAGGATCGCCATTGTCGGCGCCGGCGTTTCCGGCCTCGTTTCAGCCAAGTATTGTCTGGCGTTCGGACATGAAATTTCCGTTTTCGAACAGACCACCAACTACGGTGGATGCTGGAACTATACAGATGAAATTGGGGTGGACGAGAATGGACTTCCGGTCCACAGCGCCATGTATCAAAACTTGAAGTAAGAACTACATTCACTAATAAAATCAAAACATAATTTTACTTTTATGAAATAAATTTAATATTCTTCCTAATTTTAAAACAAAAATCAGCACGCAGTAACTAATGTATTTGATAAATTATAGAGCATTTGATTAATGTTATCATAAACATGAACAGTTCTGATAAATTGTGTTCTACTAAAATTTTCTGTCGAATTTTAAACAAATTTTAAAGATCTGCATTTTTTAGTAATAGAATCATTATTTAGTAATTAAATATTTTATAAATCATTCAAAAAATTAACTAATTCAATCTAGTAGATGTATCAATACAAATTATTAATCTTCAGTTTGAAACAACAGTTATATTAAAATCAATCATCGTTATATAATTACAAATAGATTTCCTTCCCATTGATCGTCGTTTCCTATTAGTGGATGTAACGACTAGATTACGGCATTAATCAGTTATTTGTCACTGTATAATTATACTCAACGAACGACTGATATTAACATTTAATTACCGACATTTTTTTCCAAGATTTCCGGCGCTGACGAGTAGAAGAAAATTGACTGTTTGAAAACAATTTCAACAGCTGTTTTTTCCGCCTACGGTGTACAATTATCACGTATACGCTATACTATTATTATTTATTTTCATTTTTCCTCTTCTATTTGTCTGTGTGTGTGTGTTTTTTTTTGTTTTCTTAAGAAAAGTTCTCATGGCTTTGAATTACGAGGAAGTCGTCAGGTCGGTGCGAGTGATGGATGGCATATAAAAATAAATTATGTTCTAAATTGTACGAATAAGAAATGGATGAAGAAACAAAACATATGAAGCAAGAATGATCATCATCATCAACAGAGCCGCGCCCGAAAATAACAGTAATTTCGCAAAACGGAGGGAAATTCGAAGATTTTTAAGAATCGAGAACGCGAGAACATTTCTATAATTTTAATGAAAGAATAATTCACGAATTCTACTCTTCATCTCTTTCTCTCTTTTCGTACTTCAGGAACGTTCCCAAACAATTCGTGATTTCACTTTTCGAAATTACATAATTAAATTGAGGCCGTTTACTGTTCCGTCGTAATTTCTTTTTAACGAAATATTAATCTTCGCGATCCACAAAACAACAACATCATCCGTTTGAAACGATAATTGCTTCATACAAGATTCCCAAGGAAAGCTTCTTCTTGAAGAATAAAATATGCTTAATGGAATCCATTATTGATTGATTAATTTGTTCCTAATTCGTTGGATGCTCGAGTTCTTAATTAACGGATATAATTAATACGAGACGTGAGAATTGGGTTGCATACAGGTATTTTGCAGGACGAATTTGCCGAAGGAGATTATGGTTTTCGAAGGATTACAATACAGCTTGGATTTGACAAAATCTTATATAAAGCAGTCGGATGTTCTGGATTACATCCAGAAGTACGTGGAAAAATTCGATTTGGAGCCGCACATAAAGGTATTATCATTCTGATGCGCTTTTTTTTTGCTTTATTTAAGTTTCATTTCCGCAGTATTTGAAACTTGTGAAAAAGATTAAGCCGCACCTGGAGACCAAATGGAAGGTGACGGTGATGGACGCAAAGACGAAAACGGAAGAAACGCTGGAGTTCGACGCGATTATGGTCTGCAATGGTCATTTCTTCCACAGGCGGTTACCGCTCATACCGGGAATGGATGCTTTTATCGGAAAGCAGATGCACAGCCAAGACTACAAAAGCCCAGAACCGTACAAGGGTAAAACCGTCGTCGTGGTTGGAGCTGGGCCCTCGGGCATAGACATAGCCAAGCACACGGCAACCACCGCCAAAAAGGTACAAAAGATCATCCACTTCTTTCAATTATTATATAAAACTAATTCGTGGATGCAGGTAATCATGAGCTACAGAACGAAAGCCTGGGGAACCCCCGAAGCCGACAACATCGAGAAGAGGCCGCAGATCGAGCAGATCCTCGAAAACGGATGTCGTTTCTCCGATGGCAGTGAAACCGAGGCCGACGTGATTATCTACTGCACTGGTGAGAGTTAATTTCAGAACTAATAAAAGAGATTAAAACTTAATTGAAAGGATAACAATAAAAGAAATTGTATTATCTCTGGTCAGAGGTGGTGGCCTTCGGACAGATCGTTTGCATGGACTTTCCAAGAATTTCCCATGTATTTTCGTTCGCGCGAAAAACCCAGATTTCGCGATTCGATTTGAGAACTGTTTTTTCGGTGGTAATTCCGCAATAAATAAACGGTATGCGTGTTGGGAACTATTACATTTAATTTAACATCGCTAAGTGAAATTAGTGCTCGAAGAGAGTAAGTGACACGAATGCGAAAGCCGCACAGCAAACCGCATGAGTGTCTCTCGCACGCAAAGATCGTTCATAAAATTATTATTAATAATGCGGATTAATTTGCATGCGGCGCGCGATTTATTTCATTTCCATTCTCGTTTCTTCAATCCTGTTCATTACAAAATCGTAATTATGCTGCATATTTTTCGTCCAACCATCATTTTTCTTGCAGAAAATATTGTTGTTGTTGCTGTACTACTGTAATTATAAAAATTGAACTAATAACGAACACATCTATGAATGTATTTTATTATAAAATTTCCAAAATTTAATATAATATTTATATACAATTTAATCTCCATCTAACATTAAGGGCAGAATCAGCTATGGTTAGTAGCCTTTTGAAACAATTCAATTTAGTTTTATTTTTCTTATGTTTATTATTTTCTAACATAAAATTAATATAATAACACTCACTGAATTTGAATGGATGTTAAATCTAACATATATATTATTGAAATTTATTATTCCATTCAATCATTACCAATTATAATTTATACAGTATAATTATTCTTTCATTCTAAAGTTTTCTTAGTAGGTTTTTCCACTGCTTTTTTTAATTGAAATACTGCAAAGAACGCATTTTAAAATTAATTATATGTTATAAGATTGCTTTTGAAAAGTAGGTGCATTTTTATTTAATGTTCTAAGAAGTTTTGAACATAAAACTTCGGTTTTTCCTACTGATTTTTTTATTGAAACACTACAAAGAATGCACTTTATTATATGTTACAACAGAAGTAATAAGTGTATTTTTGCAAAATACTTATTATAATAACATAAATTCATATTTTTTACAAAATATTGAATTTTAACTGCGATATATTTGTTACTTTTTCTACAATTTTCCTTAAATGTTAATTTGGATGGAAAAAGTAATGTTTCGTATTTTTTATTAAAACATAATTCGGCCTAAGGGCTCAACCATAATTCGTATTTTGAGGAATAATGAAAAATATACTTAAAGTGTATAGTTTATAATATGGTGTTTCAGGATATGAATACTATTTGCCATTTTTGGATGCTGATAGTGGTCTTGTGGTGGAAGACAACTGGGTGAAATACGTGTATCGTCACCTGGTGAACATTGAGCGACCGACGATGGCAATAGTCGGCCTGACTTATGGAAACAGTCTATTCCCGATGATAGACTTAATGGTAAGCAAAAGAAAATTAGATAATAATCCCCCTGATAAATGTATATTATTTCTTCTTTGAAATTGGTAAAAGTTTATTTATTTGAGAACGCGAAATCAGAGACGGTCACGGTTCAGCGTCACCAGGAACCAGAAAATTCCGGTTCTCTAGAACGCATTTTCTCGCCTCCTTGTTATGCAACTGCGGCGTAAACGCCGCTTTTTACTGCTTTACTTTTCGTTGTCACTCCTTATTGCAGGCCAGATACTTTCTTAAGCACCTGGCTGGGGGATTCTCGCTGCCAGACAAGGAAACTATGCTAGAAAGCGCGTTTGATGAACAGAGATACAGGCACTCCCTGGGTTGGCCACCGAGGTTCGCCCACAAGAACCCCGACCACGGCGAACACTTGTCCGGAAAAATGTCCAAGGAGGCTGACATCAAGCCGATACCGAATGCCATCTTCAAGCTGCACCGGAGGATCTCCGAGTCCCGCTTCGACGAGGACTGCTTCCGCATCGTGGATGACGAGAACTTCGTCCAAGTTCAATGATTAACATCATAATAAATAGGAAATTCCCATTTTTCATTTTTATTTTCTCAATAAATAGTACCAAGGTCGATGATGTATGAGATAGTTTTTTTTTTGTTGTTTTTTTGTTGTCCTGCTTAGCGACGACGAAATGTTGTTATCGTGGGTCAATTTTTGGCGAAAATATTTTTAGTGGAAGATTACAGTTAGGACAGTCGAGAAGGCGGGTCCCGATTTCGTACAAAAATTGCATCGCGATTGGACCATGTTTGGACAAGGAAGGAAAGTTTGTTTCTACAATTCCAACGCGCAGATAACACATCTCTATCGAGGTACACCGATGCTGATGCTGCATGTCTGTATATAAAGCCGGCGAACGGTCAGATGGATATATCTAGTTGGGTTCGAAACCTACCAGTGATAGGTCTAATTAAAACTATCAACAAACTGTCCATCGATATTCAGAAGAAAACATGAGGGTAGCTATCATTGGCGGAGGAGCTGCTGGTTTGGCTTCGGCCAGACACGTTTTGGGCAACGGTCACGAATGCGACGTCCTGGAGATGGGCTCTCATCTAGGTGGCACCTGGGTGTACACCGACGATGTTGGCAAGGACAAGTACGGATTCCCCGTTTACTCTGCCATGTACAAAGGCCTAAGGTAACTTAGCATTTGCAATTATCTATTTTTTATTTGCATCTTACTATATTATCTGACATCTATCAATATCTCTGAATTATAATTTATTACAACCACAAAGATGTTTCACATATCATAAAATTTGCAAACTTGACAATTTTATAACATACGGCAAAGAAATAATAACATTACAAACTATTTCAAAACATTAATTTTACTTAATATTCATGTTAAAGTTGCGATTAAACGTTTATAATTATATAATACCTTCATCTATTGTCTACAATTATTTTAAATTATTTGTTGCATTATGTTAGTTGTGTAATTTAATGAAAATGCACGAATTGCACGACCGTAAAACTACATTTATTTTATTGTTTGCACATTCTGATTTTATCTCTAAGACAAAATGTTGAAGATGCAACAGAACTAATAATTCGTGTCAATGGTAATTATCGATAAAAAAAAATGTATTTGAAATCGCGAATTGAATTTCATCAGCGAAATCAAACCTATTACTTTTCTCTCTCACATAACAATTTATTAACTACAAGTCACCAACAAAAATTCTATAAAGGATATAAATGATTTAATGATGAAACGGATGAACTGTAATAATAACAACTGTAATTATATAATTTTAATAAACTCTTGGTTCAAGCGCAGACTTTTGCTATTGAAACCAGTCATTTCGCACTTTCGTTTTCCAGTAATTATTATCAGTGATTTGCAATTGCAATAATCACATTTCTGATAGTGCCGTTTCCAAGACCAAACTTACTGGTTTGATTGGATATACATAGCATGTGTATCGCGTTTCATCTGATTATAAGGGGAATGCATTTTACAAGGGTCAAAGTTCTGAATTTCGTGTCCGGTCCCCGGTTTCCAGACGCTAATCATATGACCCCGTTCATGATTTTTTTTCCAATAATGAAACAAGATGCTTGTAACGAAAATGGTCTCTTCGCAATCGTTGAATGAAATTAGTATCGACGATAAAACGCCACGACCTACAAACTGTGCGGGTCGCCTTATCAACCCGTCTACTATATAGTACAATATAATGGATGTTGGTTATACATCTTCGTTTTTTTTTTAAATTATTATTATTATTTCGCAGGTCTAGATAAATAAATAAAGTAATTAACACAGAGAACGGACTTTTCGTGTCCGGGCGTGTAATGATTAAATTGCGAAATCAATCACGTGCGGCGCTCATTAATCTTCTATAAAATCCCACCCGCAGCATCGATAAATCATTGATTTTAATTAGAAACCTTTTCTTTATTTGTTGACCAGGACTAATCTCCCCAAGGAAGTGATGGGATTCCCCGATTTCCCCATCCCTGAACAGAGAAAATCTTATTTGACACAAGCCGAGATCTTGGATTTCCTCAACCTCTACGCCGACAATTTCGAATTGAGGAAGAACATCAAAGTAAGCTCGAGACGAAAATAAACTATAGGTTCGATAATTGTTGCTCGTTCAGTTCAACAGGTTGGTGGTCAAAGTGACACCACTGCCAGACCATAAATGGAAGGTGGTTTCGGTGGACAAACCAAGCAAAGAGGAAATCGAGCAAATTTATGACTCGGTGATGGTTTGTAACGGCCACTACAACGATCCCGTCTTACCAACGTTGGTGGATCTCGAAAAGTTTGAAGGGAAGGAATGCCACAGCCAGAGCTTCCGTTCTCCCGAATCTTTCAAGGGTCAGAGGGTGCTCATTATCGGCGCTGGTCCTTCCGGCATCGATTTAGCTCTGCAAATCAGTCGCGTTGCCTCCAAAGTGAGTACAAAAAATAGGTTTATCGTCATCGCGAATTTCAAAGATTTTTCGCAACACGCCTTATCGCGCTGTTGACACAATTCGCGATTACGTAAGTGGATCTTTTATTAGGAAATCTCGTTATGCTATCACTACTTCTAGCGTCAACTGCTCTGACGCTCAAGATTCAAAGCATGATATGATTGATTATGAAATTTGCAGGTGGTGTTGAGCCATCACTTGAAAGAGCCCATCACCGCAGCCTACTCAGACAATGTGGAACAGAAGCCAGATGTTAAGAGGGTTCTAGGCGCTGAAGATGTTGAATTTGTTGATGGATCGGTGTGTGCCTTCGACGCCATCTTCTACTGCACAGGATACAAGTATAGTTTCCCGTTCTTGGATCAATCCTGCGGAATCACCGTAGTCGATAATCACATTGAACCTCTGTACAAACATATGATCCACATCGAAAGGCCAACGATGTGCTTCATCGGAATCCCATTCAATGTATGTGCCTTCCAAATGTTCGACTTACAGGTAAGATCAGTTGCGTTGAATTGTAAAAACGGACGATATATTTTGTTTTTTATTTAATAGGCGAGATTTTTCTTGAAATACCTGAACGGAACTATAAGTCTTCCAAGTCGTGAGTTGATGCTTGAAGACACCGAGAACGATATGAAGAATCGCTGGGCCAAGGGCTACTCGAAACGACAGGCTCATTCGATGGGCCCTGATCAATGCTCCTACTATCGAGATTTGGCGCAAGAGGCGAAAACGGAGCCCATTCCACCTGTAATCGTCAAATTGAGAGACGAGAGTGTGAAACGTCTGTACGACGATCTGGTCAACTTCAGAGAGGACAGATACAGAATCGTCGATGAAAACAACTTCATCAAAGTCCAATGAATTCCACATGAAACTATTTCTCAATTAAGATCAAACTAATATTCTTTAAATTGCTTACTTTTATAGTATTAAAACAGAAACGATAAAGATTATATCATTTTTTGTCTATGTATATATAAGTGATTATTTATAAATAAAATTGTATATTATAATTTCGATTTATTTACATCCAATTAATTTATAAAATATACTTGGTTTTGCTTAAATTTTACGAAAAAAGATATCTTTAACAATTAATATAGTATTTAAAATGCAAATATATGCTTTACCACATAAGTATTTTTAAACGCATTACAGTGAAACCTCGCTTAACGAGCAAAATTAATTGTACGAAAAATTACTCGCTTAATGTGCGATTGCCACATCATTTTCCAGACCTCTGCCAAGTCCCCGTATTGATACAAGTAATGGGTCTATATCGCAAGCCCGACAACCGAAAGACCGTCTATTGAAATCCCGACGTTCGAAATCCCGACTATATTAAAATCTCGACAACCATAATCCCGACTGTATTAAAATCTCGTCAACCATAATACCGACTATATCAAAATTCCGACTATATTGATAATTTTTACAATAACATTTTAAAATTATTTCGGAGCGTAGTTACCTCATGCTACACTTTTATTATTAATAACAATAAATGATTATTAATTTATTTGATTTTGTTGAATTATTCATAATAAACCTTAGCAATATGAAATAATCTCAATTAGATTATTAATTGTTTTATTTATTATTAATAACAATTTAAAAGTCACTACGTTCCAGAATAATTTAAAAATGTTATTGTAGACATTTTAGATATAGTCGGGATTATGGTTGTCGGGATTTCAAACGTCGGGAATTTGATTGACGACCGAATTTTAAATTTGAGATAGGCAACCAATCGTTCAACAATAACAATCAAAATTGCCAAGTATTCGAATATGAACCAATAAAATTAAGAAAGACTTTGGCTATTTGCATCATTTTTTTTTAAATTTATTATATCAATTTTAGAAATTATTAATTTTGATGTAGACAATAACAACATTTTAATTTTAATTGACAAAATAGATATAATATCTCAAAAACTAGTACACATATTTTTTTTTTAATTTCAATTTAAAGTCCTCGATTAGTCCGGTTTGAAACAGTTTTTATATCAACAACACATACTAATTTACGTATCATTGAAATCAATTGAATTAAGGAAAATTTGAAAAGAAAAAAACTTGATTTATTTCAAATGTAAATTTGATGATTAAAGTTATGGAAAATCTCCGTTCATTATTAAGTGTTAATTCTAATTAGTGAGTACTTTTTTTTTTCAGAAACAAAATTGCAACGTAGAAAATCTAAGTCCATTATCAAATACGATAACTGCAAAAACATATAGAATAACATTTTGAAAATTGCACGTAGAAATGCAACTTTCTATTTTTGTATACAATAGTAAACGTGATTTTACGTAAATAATTTGTAATAATAACTTTCTAATGATCAAAACATATCCGAACAGAAAAACAAATCTGCTTAAACCCAAAAATAAATATAATTATTATATTTGACACATTTTAACAATTATTTATAATTTTTTTAAACTATACGTTTTCTATCATCATTGTGTATTGACCTAATTAATATATCACGCCACATCCAAATATTTACAATAAATGAGTTTGAAAACAAACAAAAAAAAAGGTACATTACAGAAATTTTAATGTCTACTTAAATTGCTGACGTTTAATATTAAAGTGTAACTATTATTTTTCTCAATATTGAGTGTATGAATTAAAGTAACAACCTTGAGAGTATAGAGCAAACTTATATTAATATTAGACCTCTATCTAGATAATTATATATCGAATCGAGATGCGTGAGATAAGAATGAGATGGCTTTTTAAGAAGAACTGTGAATTGGACAGAGAGAAAAACTATGCCCACTGCATATTAGCTTACTACTAATATTGGGGAAGAGTATAGAAACCTCATTTCGGCTTCGAAAGTAGTGGCAGTCGTTTCGAGATTCTAAAATTTCTTTCAAAAGGAGTTCAAGATGCGAGTCGGTATTATTGGGGCAGGTGCTGCTGGTTTGACTTCTGCCAAACATATCATCCAGAATGGACACGACTGTGAAGTCTTGGAACTCCAGGAAGATTTAGGTGGTACATGGGTATACTCGGACGATGTTGGTGTAGACAAATATGGATTTCCCATTTATTCGGCAATGTACCAAAATCTTAGGTAATTAAACTTTTCATTAAAGAATGTAGATGTTATTCAATTAAAGTCTAAACTTATTAGAACTCAGGTAAAATTATATCTTAGTATGAAATATATTAATAAATAATTAATAGTTATTAGAGAAGAAATATAATTTGAAAATGTTCATTATTACTTTGTGAAATATTGTACTATCTCCTTTGGGCCTTCCGTAACACACAATTTGTTATTTTCGATGAATCTGCAAATTTTAGGATGAAAAACAAAATAGTTCTAGATAAGATAGATTCTATTATTGTGCTCCAAATTTAAGAAATTTCATCAATTCATTCCAGGAGATTAAAAGTTTATCGTAATGAAAATGTATGTTCCATAATGACTTTTTAATATGTTATCGCAGATTATAATCATACTTTTATGATGTTGGAATATAGAAAAAATGTTAATAGACTAACTTAATTGCATTTGAGTATGTTATGATTTCGTTCGAGTGATAACATTTATAATGTTATCGAAGATTTAAAGATTAATGACTATTTAATGAAGTTTAAATTTTTCTTATTCTAATCAATAAAAACAATATTCGATCAAAGGTCTATCGACATAAGTTTTTCTTCATACAATTTTCCTTCAATTTTACTATTCATTTGTATTACAGCAAATTTATGAATTGAAGCAAAATTAAATCTAAAATTTATGAATTGCAGGACAAATTTACCAAAGGAAATAATGGCATTTCCAGACCTCGCATTTCCAGACAAAGAAAAATCTTACCTAACCCAAGCCGAAGTACTTAATTACCTTCATCAATACACCGATGAATTTAATTTGCGTCCACACATCAAGGTAGAAGTTTCAGTACTGCACTCAATTACAAATCTTCGATTTTAACAAATCTGCATGTTCACAGTTCAATAGATTTGTAAGTGAAATAAAGCCATTGGAAGGCAACAGGTGGATCGTGAGATCAATCAACAAAATCAACAAGGAAGAAATCGAAGACGAGTACGACGCAATTATGATTTGCAACGGTCATTACAACGAGCCCGTTTCTCCAACTTTGGAAGGAATCGAGAAGTTCAAAGGATCGGCAACGCACAGCCACCAGTTCAGATCACCGAAACCGTATAAAGGACTAAGAGTCATTGTAATGGGAGCAGGACCATCGGGAATCGATATCACACTCCATGTTTCAGAAGTGGCAACTAAGGTATGCTACAAAATTGTACTCTTTAGATTAATATAAAGGTGTATTCTATGATTTAGGTAATATTTAGTCATCATTCTACCTACGATATCAAATCCAAATATCCAGATAACGTGGAGCAAAGATGTGATATCAAGAGGATTCTGAATGAGAACACCGTGGAGTTTATAGATGGTTCTGTTGAAGAAATAGATGCTATTATCTATTGTACTGGTAAATTATAG